AAAAAAAAAGTAGTTAAGAAATGCTAGATTTTTTTTTTATTAATAACATATGTTTATTTATTTTAGATCAGCTTTTTATTTCATCTATTCCTCCAGCCATTCTCTTCAACTTATCCAATTATATTTAGAGTTGAAGTTGAATTATATACAGTGTGTGTGTGTGTGTGTGTTTTAACATAAAGATTAACAAAGAACTCACTGAATGCTGCTCTGTGAACAAAAACAAAAAGCATCCTTACTGTGAATTCTCTGTAATACAGTTCGTGCAGTTTATGTTGTACACGTGTCAAGTTTGTGTGGGCACATGCGTCACTCAATGTCTGTATGAATTTTAATTAGACTTTCTGCATGCAAGTGTGACAAAGATTTACAAGCTTAACATCTTGTTGCCATAGATGTTAAGCTTGAACTCCCTCTGTGATAACTTCTTGATGTGCCTCAGCCCTTTATCTGTAATGAGAATGTTGTTCTGGAAATTTTGATAATTGGTTTTGAAACAAAGTCAGCAGTCACAATAGACGGCTTTTCTCAGGATATGCACAGTTTGATTTCCAAGACCATATTTCTTATTAACTCACTGAATGTTTGCTTTCAGAATAATGCTGAAAGTCATTCAGAAATCATGCAACACGTTTATTTTGTTTGTTTTGGGGTTTTGTTTTTGTTTGTTTTTCTGTTCGTCCAGATCAAAATAATTATATACGGTAAATCTTTTAAGCATACCTGGATTTTGAATTATTTAACATGGAGATAAATTTGTATGTTTGTAACTGTAACTGTGTTTGAACTATGATGTACAGTACCTTGTATACTTATATCAAACCAGCAGTTATGTAGCTTCCTCCATGTGCAGGGAAATAGGAAGATAGAAAGAGAGAGAGGCTGTTTTTCATTGCAGGCATGCTTTTCTCCCCTCGGTAAATTCTTTAGTTAGCTTGGTAAGGATTAGGTCTGAAAAGTCTCTCATTTGCCGCCAAAGCCCTCAGGGATTCATTGGTGAAGACATTCAGCTTCTCTACTGCTTCCCTCTGAATTTAACTTTGCCATTTATTTATTTTTATTGCAGCCCACGTCTGATTTGCGCTCTCTTTTGCATTTTGCGGCTGTCTTTATGATACATTTAAACTTTTTTCAGCTCTTTGTTGCTTGAGGTACTGTACACTAATTTAGAGATATTGGACTGTCAATTTGAATGCAAGTGTACATTTCAGCATTTGATATTTATTTTAGTTTTGTATCAGGTTTAATGAGAGTTAGTATAAAAAATTGTTCTCTTTGTTCTAGATTTTTATCCTAGATCTTATCCTGTAAGCTCCGCCTTTGCGCATGGACAAAATATGCCTAGATTTGATCTGAAAATTGTTCACATATCCTTGTGAATTACAAGCACTTTGGAAACACTTTGGAAATACCAGCTGAGTTAAAAGCCTGAGGCTATGTGGGATACACCCTAATGGAAAACAGCTCGGGGATAAAGGTAATGGTTGGTACAGATTACAGGAAACTGTAAATGGGATAAAAGACACAAGCTCAAAAGAAAGAGGTACATTCCACCAAGTGTCTGACTGAAACCATTTTTCTTCCCCAAGGCTAAATTGTGAAATATTGCGACTTGAAGCAAAATAAATGTCAGGCACATTAGAATGAAACTTTAAATGGTATGGATAATCACCATTTCCTTTAGCATTACCTCTTAAGGCATCCTTCTTAATTTTGACGAGAGATAAGAAGAATATCAAATGTTGGAAAATATTTGATATTGATTCTTTGTGACCAACTGATGTTAATTAGAAGAAGCGCTGGAGCTTTTTGACTCATATAAGCTGTTGTCAACACCAGAGTTAGGACCCAATAAAGGTAATTGCTCGTCCTTGTAATTGCTCGAATACAAAGCTATGGCTTAACTTTGAAACAATTGAGATTTTATATATTTATATATGCTATTCCAAGTTAATTCAGTTCCAGTGTTGAACTTCGACTATATACAAATCTTTCTCATGTTTTTGAAAAAAACACAGTTTCTCCTTCCCTCCCTTCTCCCACTATGTCGGTGGAATGGAGTTAAAACTTTAAGCAGCTGAGCTCAACAAAGAGAAACTCTTTCTCTCTTTGACAGAGAGAAACAGGGATGACATGACAATGCAGGATGATGGACTGTGTTCAGAGATGAGTGGAGGGTAAAGGCAGAGTCATGACCAATGATGGTATAAATGACCTCTACTGTACATCAAACATCATTTTACTTCAGCTCAGAAGATAGACAGGAACACATGAGGATAATTTATGAAAGACAGGATGATGGGCTATGATCAGAGATGAGAGAGAGAGGAAAAGCAGGGTCATGGCCAGTGATTATATAAACAACTGTTTCAGACAAACGCTGTCCCAGTGCTTAAGCTGGGCAGATGCTCTGTCATTCAAGAACAGTTTTCGGTTGCTTTGTTGGTGTGTTTGTGGAAAGTGGCTATTCTTGCTCAATCCAGTGAACTAAACTCAGGTTAATTTAGCAACAGGGATGCATAGGGAGATGTACATGAGTGTTAGTGTTAAGTAGTTGGTATCCAACCTGTTATGGGAGGTGGCATTCAAAAGAACCTTATAATTGAAGTCTAATACTAGAAGTTGTATAAATTACGTGGACTTCCATACTCATGGGTAGTGCAGAAAATAGATTTGTCCTTTGCAGTTGCGAAATTAAGCATATTTTCAGATTCTTGACCTTTTTGGTTTTTATAAGTTGTGATAGAAATTCCTGTGAAGATACTGCATGCTGCTTCTGCAACAGCTGCACATTGCTTCTGCCACCCTCAAAAAAAAAGTGCCAGAAAACACACTGAACCACTACGTTGTTGAGTCACATTAAAATATTATCAACCAAGCTAGAAGTTAATGCAGCAATGTCACATAAAGGCCCAAGCTCACAAGCCACAAAAGCAGACCAAAATGCCAAGCTCTCCACAGGGATGCTATGGTATTAGGGGTGGGCGATATAAACGATATACAATAGAAACAATATAAATGTGGCCAACGATAGAGATTTTGACTATACCACTCTATCGCGATAGCGCATGTTGATGATGTCATCTGTTTTGGTCGAAAGCATCGCAGTGGCTACAACCATTATCATCTGCAAATTATGCCGACAGTCATAGCAAAGAGATGAAGCACTTTTGAAATATGGGGAAAGCCAAAAACTGCGCTTCCTCCACTTCCGTAACATTGATTCATTATTGCTGAATTCTCTCGCAGCTGCTCTAGTCCCATTTTGTTGCAGTATATTATAACTAACCTTGTATTGTGGATGAATGATCTCAGTTGTTCTCCTGACTGAAGTTTGGCCCGTGTATAGCATCCTGCTATGCGATTGCATTTGTCCCTGACCACCAGAATCCCTCACGTTAACTTCTATCGAGTGGAAAAAAAGTTGGTGTTCATCCTCCAGCTTCACTGTGCTAATGTTATGCTAACATAGCTGTGTCGCTAGCAATCACGCAGCACAACATTATATACCAGGTAGTCCAACTTCAGTAACCCTGCAAACGCCACTGCTGTTTAGTTTTCTGTCTTCATTTATGTTGGAAGTGGTAGCAGAGCTGTACGTTTTAATTAGTTTCAAAAATCTCTCAGTCAGAACATGGTATGAAATGTTTAGGTGTAAACTAGCGAGCTCACTTCCTGTTAACTTCTAACTCTGTTAAATTTAATAACTTCTGTTTTCATGGATGCCTGGATGTTAAATTTAATTGGTAACCTGGTAAAGCAGCAACGCTGATGATTTAATTAAAGATTAAAGAATTTAGACCGTTTTTAACTCTTAGTGTTCGTTTGACTTTGGGACCTGAAGAGGACGGAGTTTTGGAACCAGATTACTCCGCGAAGCTCCTCACTAATGCATAATGCTCTGACAATCCATCAAGCAGTGCGGCTTACCAAAGTTGTACTAAAACATTTTTAACAGATTTCTGCAGCCAAAATCGGTTCGAGGTCAGTAAGCACAACCAGAATTCATACATAAGGCACACTCTAGATTTTTGAGAAAATTAAAGGATCTTAAGTGTGCTTAATAGTGTGGAAAATACGTTATACAGAAGAAAATAATATATCGTGATATATATCATTACCGCACATGCTTCAAATTAATCCCAATATGAATTTTAGGCCATATCGCCCAGCCCTATATTGTATGCTTTTTTTTCCTTTTTGGGTAGCTTCTCTTCTTCTAACTCAAGAATGCAGTTTTATTTTCTTGTTTTACAGACTGACCTCTTCTGCTCCTGAACAGTGGTTTAGTAGAACAGTCTGAGAAGCCATTGGCTGCTTTTCATTGTGTCAGTGTGTTTGCTTATTTTCCTCAGTCACATACGTACGGAAAATCCAAAAGATTAGATGACTCCAAGCAGCCAAATAGGAAATACTTTGTTCCATACTGTTAATCTTAAGTATGTCAGCTACTTATAACATGTGAAGATGCAAGCTGGTAAGATCTACCTTTAAGGTACACCTATGTTTCCTGCTCTAAGCTCCTACAAAAGCCTCCTCTCTCCTCGAGGGGCATTTAAAGTATTAGAAGATCCTTGATGATGGAGGAACGCGTGAAATTTCTGGATCACAGGAAGAAAAAAGACATGAGCAAGCATAAATTAGCATAATGAAAAGGACCTACTGTTTTTCATTTCTGAAAGCCACTGATATGAGAGGAACTGTAGGTACAGTGGACTGGTTGAAAATATTTCTGTTGGACATTTCTTGAAAAATCAATGTGCAGCTGTGGAATTATTGGGGCATCCACAGCCTTCTAAGAAAGTCAGTAGATTAAAGACTTAACCTTACATTTTCTGGGAAAGAGAGTAATACATTTTGCTGTCAAGTCTTCAAAACTGGATGTCTTTATGTTTTATCCATGTTTGATGAAATTATGGAAAAGCACGTGCTTGGAAATATAATATTGACTTCTTTCTGTTCTATTTCCCCTTTCCATGCGATCCGTGTTCACCCTGAAGCTGAAGAGTATGCTGTTGAAGGTAAGACTGATTTTTCTCTCCTAAGGTCCTCTGATGGCTTCTCTTGATGTTCTCATGGATGCTGATTCAGGTTGCTTCTAAATGCTTTATGCCATCCCTCTGTGGAGGGGCATTGTCAGTTTGGACTGCGGTTATAAGTGACTTCCAGGGGCCGTAATGAATTTTTTTCTGTATAAAATACACGTGATGGATGCGCACCTGAAACTATTCCTTATTTTTCTATTATTATTATTTTATCTTGTCTTTCTTCATTTGTTTTCTTTCTTTTTTTTTATAGTTTATCTCTAGAGAATATGAACATGCTTGTATATGAAATTGTCAAGACAGCTGTTCTAACCTTGAACCAGTCTACCCATTAACAAGTTATTGTTCAAGTTCACATGCCATGACAAGGTGATGACAAGCTGCTGTCTTCACATCCTTTCCTGTCCCCTACAAAGGTGAACAAATCCTGCTGGTTTAGGCCCCAAAGGCACCACATTAGCCCTTGGGCCATGAAGGTGCGAAGCCAGTGCTGAATGTAGAAGACATTATGGATACATCAGTGTCTGCTGATCTTTCTGCAAAATGTTGCCGTCCAGAGGTTCACCCACTGGGTGACTGGATCTGTTTTTCAGTTCAATCAGACACTGAAACTGACATAAACAGGCTTTTTTTGAATATGCATCCAGATATTGGCATCTAGGTGTGTGTGTGTGTGTGTGTGTGTGTGTGTGTGTGTGTGTGT